CATTCACATCAGAGATCTGTAAGGTGAGAGTGACGCTGCTGGAGAGGGAGGGCACTCCCTCATCAGAACACGTCACTGTTATATTATACTCAGAGTCTCTCTCTCTGTCCAGGTCACTGTCAGTTACTAAGCTAAAGAATTTTTTCGACGTTGCTTTCATCAGAAATGGCATGTGCTCTTCGATATTACAGGCGACTTTGCCATTTTCTCCGGAATCAGGATCTTGAACATTAAATATAGTAACTACAGTCCCCGGTTTAGCATTTTCTGATATTGAATTAGTTTTAGACATTATATTAATAGACGGATAATTATCATTCGTGTCAGTCACCTCAACAATAACCTTACAGGAATCTGTTAGTCCTCCATCATCACTAGCTTGTACGTGTATTTCATAGTGCTGTGCCTTTTCATAATCCAGGCTTCCAGATAAAGCGACCACCCCAGTTTGTTCGTCGATTTGAAACATAACAGGCACATCATCCAACGTGTTCGTTATTGAATATGACACTTTTCCATTTGAACCTTGATCTGCATCTGATGCACTAACAGTACACAAAATTGTGCCTTTTGGAGCAGTCTCTAATATGGTGATTTTATATACTTCCTGCGTAAATACAGGAGCATTGTCATTAGCGTCGAGCACTGAAATCTCTACTCGCATTGTTCCCGACAGCTGAGGATCCCCGCCATCAGTAGCTGTGAGAATTAAAGAGAGGTGCTCTTGCGCCTCTCTGTCCAGATGTTTTTGTAAAACCATCTCCACCTTTTTACTCCCATCTTGTTGATTTTGGAGTTTTAGATGAAAGTTGTCTGTAGGTTTCAGCGAATAACCCTGCAATCCGTTCACACCGACATCTAGATCCATAGCTCTCTCTAGCACAAATTTTGCTCCAATCACAGCCGACTCACTGATCCTAAATTTCATCTCCTCCTTTTTGAAGCTGGGTGCGTTATCGTTAATGTCATTAATTTCGACTGTAACTGTGAAGAATTCAATCGGGTCTTCCAGTGTAATCTGAAGATGTAAAGCGCAAGGCGTCGTCTGTCCACAGAGCGCCTCCCTGTCGATTCTCTCTTTCACAAGCAGGACTCCTCTGTCTTTATTCAGCTCGATATACTCTGCATTGTCCTCTGTATATATGCGAGCTTTACCTGACTTCAGTCTTTTCACATCTAACCCTAAATCCTGCGCTATGTTTCCAACAAGAGAGCCTTTCGACATTTCTTCAGGAATGGAGTATGTGACCTGCCCGAACACTGAGCTGAGGGACAAAAGCGACATAAACAACAGTACTTGCCGTCTCATTGTTCTGCCCGACATTTTGAATTGGACAAATACTGTAGATGTGAAGAAATATTCCAAAGCGTTAAGATCCCTCTGTTACAAAATGTTCCAGAAGATTGTGTCCGTGTTTATAAAATCCGAAACACACGAAGCCCAGCGCGGATATCTGCCCGTGTCTGCGACGAAGCTGTTGTGCAGTATGTGTGTCTCTTTCTCTGTTAAATATAAGAAATGACGGGGGTAGGCTCTACACTGGCCAACAGCGGCCCTGAGAGTCTAAACACTTGCACTGCAACACTTCATCATGCAGTGTGAGGTTCAAGATAAAGAAATAAATACGACTTTGAGATATTACAAAATAAATTCAGGTATTATAAAATATATCAAGCAACACCTTAGCTTTGAAAAAAAAAAGTTATTGCTCAATTTCAAGGTATTATATAGATAACAAATACATAAGGGGTTCATTTGTTGCAGTAGTTAGGTCTGCAGTTTCTTCAGTTAGGAGTGTACTAATCTCAGAAGAAATAATACTTGGTTCTTGTGGAGTTGATTAGAAACAGTTATATCCTAAAATATTATGTACTTTAAGTGTAATTTGACATATAGTCGACATTTAATGACTTTTTTCTTTTAATATTTTGCTGACTCCCCACAGCTCAACCTTGACTAAAGGGTGCTTATTTGGATAAAGATGAAGCAAGAACAAAAGCGGAGTGACTTCTTCCTGCTTCACTGAGGCATTAGATACAGCAGGAAAACAGCAAGGTAACAACAGTATAAATCTAATGCTGTGGGTGTGTCTTTGCTGATGATGAATAGGTGATGAACAAAAAGTGGATGATGCAGACAACATCCACAGCAAGGGTGATGGTAGTGGCAACTTGTTGTTGGGTATTCTATTTACCAAACAAGTACAGCCAATTCACTCTCATGCTAGTAGGTGTTTCTGGTCCTAATAACAAGTACACTGTAGAGCTCATCACAGACACATTCAATAACCAATACATGATCAGTGGAACTCCCACTGTCTGTGCTGGGTAACTTTAACGCTGCAGTGTCTTCCCACTCTTTTTAACAGTTTGCTATTTTGGTGATTTAACTAGTAAAATACTGAGAAGCGGTCAAAGAAAAGAAATCAGGTATATGGACAACTGAAATATGGAAATATGGAAAGGTAAAGTAGGGAACAACCACACTGACTGCTTTGACATCACTGACTGGGAAGTAGTTTGGACTTTTGGGTAATGCCACATCAGTAAGCAGAGTGCATGTCTTCCAGTCTTTAGCAACAAACAGAGTGTTTACTTGTATTATGCCACAGGATTGTAAGGACATAAAAATGTACAATAATGGATAAATATACTAACGTGTGCATTCACAGAATTGATGGAACAGTCTTCTGGAAAGGACCGGTGTAAATATGTGTTTTAGAGAGATTGAGCATTATGTTTCTCCCGTTACACTGGTGTGTCTTTTGCAGTGTCCCTCTCTGAATAGTGCTGTCCATGACATGGGTGCTGAATTCACAGTGATAGTAACCAAGAGGCAGGACCCATGGTTTAAATGATAAATGGTGTGAGGATGTTGCAGTTATAAAGAGGGATAAAGTTAGATTGCCTTTCTGCCAATAAGTATGATACTCGCTCAATAGTGAGGAAATTTTCAGATGAACAAACATATTGCGTATGCCCTTATCAAATATCATATGAAATCAATAAGGTTGGAAATCAGTTTGATAAGGTGGACACAACAAAAACAGCTCATAAGTCACTTTAGTCAGTCTTTTAAGTTCATCATAAGTCCAGTCCTTAAAAATCCACAAAATGAATTAGCTCTATAAACGTGCACAGTAGAAACCTCAGTGTATTAGGCACCTGTTTAAGAGTCACAGCATTTGAAAACTTCAGTTGAAAACCAGCAGCTGCATCACATTTAGTCATTCTGTATAGTTTCAAACTGAGTTCTTCCTGTAAATATCATGTCAAATGTTGACCAGAGTCAGCACACGACCTAGAAAGGCGGATACTGGTGATTTCTATAAAATGCTTGATAACATCCTGCCATACTTTTTCAAGTTTTTTAAGTATTTTGCTGTTCTATAGTAACTACTTCGAAGAATTCCTGCAGTTCTAATTCACAAAAAATATGACTAAGAGTGCTGCATAGTAAAGGTTAAAAAAGACCAAAACCTGTACGCAGCAACATTTTGCAGAGAAGACAACTATGTACAGGTATTACAAAACAACTCAAATAATATATTGGCTGCTCAAAAAACAATGAAAGGTTGTAAAGATGGAGCTCTGGCTGAAGACGGAGCGAATTATATTATGTATCTGAGCTACGCAAGAGCCCAGAGTTAAGTGAGCATGATGAAAGACACAAAAACTGCTGTAAATAAAGGTGTAATGCAACACCATATGTCATTCCATGAGACTAACCTCTAGAGGAGAGTCAGGTTCATCCAGGATGCTCTTGTCACTCTGTATCCGCTGCATCGTCCATGTAGAACTGGGGTCCATTATCAGCACATTCTGACTACAGGCTCTGCCGAACTTACAGTCACTCTTTCTGGAGTCTGTCGTCCTGCACACCTCGTAATTGTACACGTGTTGGAGAGTCCCTGTCCCCAAAGTGTCTGAGTAACGTGGAGGATAATATGGAATGACAGGGAGACTGGAGTGATACAAGATGCGAGACTGTCTCCATCTGTAGATCTTCACTGATATAATAACCACCAAACACGTGATGAAGAGGAAGGAAACTACAGCCAAAGCCAAGACTAAGTAAAAAGTCAGGTTGTCATTGTACTCCTTGTCGTGTGAAAAGTCAGTGAACTCAGACAGCACTTCAGGGAAGCTGTCCGCCACCGCCACGTTAACAATGACTGTAGCTGAACGAGACGGCTGCCCGTTGTCCTCCACTATAACACTCAGTCTTTGTTTGACAGCATCTTTATCAGTCACTTGGCGGATAGTTCTTATTTCTCCATTCTGTAAGCCCACTTCAAACAGCGCCCTGTCTGTGGCTTTCTGCAGTTTATAGGACAGCCAGGCATTCTGTCCAGAGTCCACATCAACAGCCACCACTTTAGTCACCAGATAGCCCACATCTGCTGAACGAGGCACCATTTCAGCCACCACAGAGCCACCAGTCTGCACTGGGTACAGCACCTGAGGAGGGTTGTCGTTCTGGTCCTGGATCAGTATTTTCACACTCACGTTGCTACTGAGTGGAGGGGAGCCTCCATCCTGCGCTTTGACGCGGAAGTGGAAGTCTTTGATCTGCTCGTAGTCAAAAGAGCGCACTGCATGGATGACTCCACTATCAGCACTGACGGACACATATGAAGAGACTGGCACTCCGTTAACAGAGGAGTCCTCCAGTATGTAAGAAACACGGGCATTCTGGTTCCAGTCAGCGTCTCTGGCTTTCACTGTGAATATAGAGAGGCCTGGTGTGTTGTTTTCTACAATGTAGGCCTCATATGAGCTCCTCTCAAAGACAGGCGCGTTATCATTCACATCAGAGATCTGTAAGGTGAGAGTGACGCTGCTGGAGAGGGAGGGCACTCCCTCATCAGAACACGTCACTGTTATATTATACTCAGAGGATCTCTCTCTGTCCAGATCACTGTCTGTCACTAAGCTATAGAAATCGTTTGAAGACGTCATAATAGTAAATGGTATGTTGCCATTTATTCTGCAATTGACTTGACCATTGTTACTTGAATCTGGGTCAAGCACACTGAACATAACTATAATTGTATTTTGAGGAGAGTCTTCAGGGATTAAATCAGATTTTGAAAGTATACTGATAACAGGCTTATTATCATTAATGTCAATAACATCAACAATAACCTTACTGGAATCAGACAGACCACCACTGTCTTTAGCCTCGATATCAATCTGGTAATACTTTGCTTTTTCATAGTCAACTTCACCCACTAATATTACCTCACCGTGTTCATTTATTGTGAATATATCAGACACGCTGTCCACAGCTGTCGACACTGAATAAGAGACTTCCCCGTTTGTTCCTTTATCTACATCAGAAGCACTCACTTTTGTCAACGTGCTTCCTTTCTGAGAATTTTCGGCTATGGCTGCCTTGTAAACCGACTGCAGAAATACAGGGGCATTGTCGTTTGCATCGAGCACAGTCACATAAATCTGTACTGTACCAGACATCTGTGGTTCTCCTCCATCTACAGCTGTTAACAGCAGCGATATTTGTTCCTCTTTCTCTCGATCTAACGGCCTGTGCAAGACCATTTCGACCTTTTGAATTCCATCTGCATGACTCTGTATTTTCAGTACAAAATTATCTGTGGGTTTCAGGCTGTAGTTTTTCAATCCATTTAAGCCAATGTCTGCATCGACCGCTCTGTCTAACACAAATTTAGATCCCGTGACTGCGGACTCGCTTATTTCAAAGCGTTTCTCGTCATTTTTAAAACTGGGGCTGTTGTCGTTGATGTCGGTAATCTCTACTGTTATTCGAAAAAGCTCCATTGGGTTTTCTAGAATCATTTGCAAATGCAAAGCGCAAGGCGTCGTCTGTCTGCAGAGCGACTCTCTGTCGATTCTTTCTTTCACGAGGAGGAGTCCTCTTTCTCTGCTCAGCTCGATGTATTCTGCACTGTCGCCCGTAAATATTCGAGCTTTACCCGACTTTAATCTTTTCACATCCAAACTTAAATCACGTGCTATGTTGCCCACTACAGAACCCTTTGCCATTTCCTCCGGAATAGAGTAGCTGACTTGGCCGAGAGCTGAACCGAGAGAAAGGACCGAGAGGAATAACAGTACTTGCCGTCTCATTGTTCTATCCACAGTTCCCGTTGCGCCACAAAAGAAGGTGTTAAAATCGGTTTTCCAAGACAAATATATCCATGTGAAAATAGAGAATATCAATATAATCCACAGAATGCCGAAGGAGAGTGCATCAGCTCGATGTGTCCATCTAAAGGGTATCTGTCCGTGAAAACTGCTGTCTCCTTTATTCTTTCTCTGAAATAACGACATAACATGGGAGGATGTGCTTCAAATCCTGTCCACATTTGCAACACGTTGACCAACAGCGGCCCATGGAGTTCATATAGAGACATTGCAAGAAGAGCAAACCCAATATCAAATTAAATTGTTGAAGAATGAGCATTGTCTGCATTAATGAAAACACTGTCAAATTAATTATAT